TCAGGTCATGATCTCTTGGTTCATGAGTTCAAGCCCCACATCAGGTTCACTGTTCTCTGCGCAGAGCCCACTTCAGATCCTCTGTCCCTCTCTTTCCCCGTCCCCCACTTGCACTTGCTGAAAAATAAATAAAACATTAAAAAATTTAAAAAACAACAACAACAAATGTGCACGATCATGTAGCAGTACTCCTACTACGACATAGATCATTTCCTTCTCCCCGCCCCCAGCATGTTCTATCATCCCTCTCTGCATTCACCCCTTCTCCCCGCACCCTGGCCCCTGGCAATAATTGATCTGCTTTCCTTGCTAGAGTTTTGCCTTCCAAAAAAAGTCTATGTAAATGGATTTATGCATATGGTCTCTTGTGTTTGGCTTCTTAGTATAACGTTTTTGAGACTGACTTACGTTATCGTATGCATCAGTAATTCTTTTCTTTTTATGACTGAGTTGTGTTCCTTTGTGTACTACACCATAATTTGTTTCCTTCTTTATCAGTTGGTGGACATTTGCATTCTTCCAAGTTTGGGGCTATTATGAATAAGGCTACTCTCTGCATTCTTGTGTAAGTCTTCAGCATTTGGGTCTTTAAATTTCTCTTGGGCAGATGCCTCAGAGTGGAATTGCTGGGTCATCTGGTGTGTGTTTCACTTTATAGGAAACTGCCCAATTATTTTTCAAAGTGCCTGTAACGTGTTGAATTTTCTGCCAGCAGGTGTATAAGGATCCCAGTTGCTCCGTTTCCTTGCAAACACCTGGTATTTTTGCTGTTTTAAAAGTTGGTCATTCTTGTGAGTTTCTAGTGGTATCTCATTAAGGTTTTGCTTTGCATTTTCCTGCTGACTATATTGAAGCTTTCTTCTTGTGCTCACTTGGCATTTGTTTATTTTCTTCGTTGAAGGTGTTTAAATCTTGGGGCACCTGGGTGGCTCAGTCGGTTGGGCGGCCGACTTCGGCTCAGGTCATGATCTCACGGTCCGTGAGTTCGAGCCCCGCGTCGGGCTCTGTGCTGACGGCTCGGAGCCTGGAGCCTGTTTCGGATTCTGTGTCTCCCTCTCTCTGACCCTCCCCCGTTCATGCTCTGTCTCTCTCTGTCTCAAAAATAAATAAACGTTAAAAAAAAAAAATTAAATCTAGTCTTCCCCCCTACCCCCGCCCAGTGGGGTCTTTTGTCTGGCATTGGGTTTTAATACCATTAACGAGTTATTCTGAAGAGATACAAGGAAGGTATTTTGTTGCTGACTTATTTTCAAGAAGGGAATTCCTTTCAGTGGGTATTTTGTTTCCTGCACCATTTTTTAAATTTATTTTTATTTTTATTTTTATTTTTATTTTTATTTTTATTTTTATTTATTTATTTATTTATTTATTTATTTATTTATTTATTTTTTGCTGCTGTTGTGGGCATGGCCAGAGGGATTCATCTGTTATCTGTTGGTTTCTTTTCATGTATCTCACCCTGCTTCCTGACATCCGTAGTTGACCCTTGGACAATGCAGGGGTTATTAGGGTGCTGAAACCCCACCATGCACTCAAAAATCCACATCCAGTTTTTAACTCCCTCAAAAAGTTAACTGCTAACAGCCTAGTATTTATTTTTATTTTCTTTAAGTTTATTTCTTTATTTTGGGAGAGAGAGAGAGACACAGAGAGGCAGCAGGGGAGGGGTAGAGAGAGGGAGAGAGAGAATCCCAGGCACGCTCTGCTCTGTCAGCACAGAAGCCAAGTAGTGCGTGGGGCCCGATCTCTTCAACCACGAGATCGCGACCTGAGCTGCCATCGAGAGTCAGGCGCTTAACCGACTGAGCCCCCCCTTAACTGCTAACAGCCTCCTATGGACCAGAAGCCTGACTGGTAACACAAAATTGGGCACGTATTTTCTGGTCATATGTTTTATAGAGAAAACAGAATGTTATTAAGATCCTAAGGAAGAGAAAATGCATTTACAGTACTGTACCCCATTTATTGGGAAAAGCTTGCGTATAAGTGGACCCTCACCGTTCAAACCCATGTTGGTCAAGGGTCAGCTGTACTGCTTACTAAACCTGTCGACTCGTTCTCTGAGAAAACCCACGTGGTTTTACTAGCTCCCCCCGCCAAACACACATACATATGTATACACTGATCGTGTGCAAACCTTGCCTCGCCTAATTATTCCCCTCATCAGCCAACAGTAGGCAAGGACAGCCTCTCATGCTTTTTGGTTCCCTTGTACCTGGCACTCGGCGCAGAGTAAATAACTGAGGAGGCGACAGATGACTGCTGATGGTAATAAGTTGCTGGTCTAGGTAAATTAAGTGCTCTTGAGTGATTCCAGAGTTTTGGAGAATAAGAGTTCTGTCTGAACTGATGGATCTAAAAGTAAATTATCTTAATTCTTACTTTAAAAACTGCTTATATAAGCTTTTACTGTAGAATACCTACATTTTGCTTGCTAGCTCTCTATAAAATCTTCTTGAAAATGTGTTGTAGCAAAGCCATGATTATGATTTGACTGTGAACAAGAGAGGGAAATTCTATTTTTAGAGTAGACGTATCTAGGTTAGAAAACCTAAGAGTATCCCAAATTTTATTTGGGACTTCTCCTGGGCATTTGTGGCTTAATCTAGCTTTATCAGTGGAGCAAAGGGCAGTGTATGTTTTTGATCATTTTGAGTAGCGTTTCATATTAATGTAAAGTCAAGTTGACGTTTCAAGTGGTGTTCATGCTGTGTAGAGTCATGGGTGTGTAAGAAATAGATGAAAATGTGAACTCTGAAGAATTTATTTATAGGAATTAAAGATCAGTGAGAATCTAATAGAGCACTGGATTGGCACCTATGAAATCTGAGATATAGGACCAGGTGAGCTGTGTGACTTTGGAGAGGTCACTTGACCACTCTGGGCTTTCATTTCCTCGGATGTGAAATGAGCGGATTTGAGCAGATGACCATACAATGGTCTTAGCTTTAAAATACATGCTGTGAATTATTTTTTATGAGGATGATTTCGATGTCACATGGCAACTTTGAAGACAAATCCAATCCTGAAATTCATTTACGGTGTTATTCTCCACCCCGATCCGAGGTGTGACTTTTGACATCTCTCAATCATTAGAGTAAGGTTGACCTCTTTGTTGTCTTCTCTCTTCAAAAGTGTGAGAAAGAGAAAGCAAAAGTAACGATAAAGGTGAAAAGGAATTTGTGATGCGATTTAGGGCAAAACAAAAAAATTGTAGTTGGAAAATAGTAAAATGTAAAACTTTTTACTTTGTTATTATGAGTCACCATCAATCCCAAGTACCTCTGGGCCCAATTTAATAAAAATTTCCCTAATGCTTTGTCAAAGGTGTATGATTTTAGTCATTTGAATTCTGGAATCATATACTTCAGCAGGCAAATGAAGTCTTTTTTTTTTTTAAATTTTTTAAACATTTATTCATTTTTGAGAGACAGAGACAGAGTGTGAGTGGGAGAGGGGTAGAGATAGAGAGAGGGAAACACAGAATCCGAAGCAGGCTCCAGGCTCCGAGCTATCAGCCCAGAGCTCAATGCAGGGCCCGAACTCACGGACCGTGAGATCATGACCTGAGCTGTAGTCGGACGCTCAACCGACTGAGCCACCCAGGCACCACCAGATAAAGTCTTAAGTTGCAGTTAGTAAACAATTAAACAGAAATGTAGAACTTGGAGTTCATATTTCTCTTCTGATCTAGTACTAATTTTTACTTTAGGTTCTTGTTGAACCTTGTTAGATACAGGCACAGGGAAAGTAGATTGTTTTGAAAGTTTTAACTGTGAGTGTGGGAAGTGTCAGTCTGAGTTGTTATTTAAATAGACATTTTCAGGCTTGCTTTCTATTTTTTTTTTTTTAAAGCTATGCAAAATCTAGGTCAAGATCTGCAGCCTTGCTAATAAACTTCTGGCTTATCGTTCATTACGCATCACTCCAGAAAGGAGATAATGATGGTTGGGAAAGTTGGCATTGACCTTAATGAAGTGGTTAAAATTTTTACTATTGCTTACTCCTATATCCATGCAAAATATACAGTAGATCTCAATAAAAAAGATAACTTGTTACGGTCAGTGCATTTTCCTTCCTGTCTGTAGCTCCCACTTTCACGTAAACAAAGATCTAGTTATTTGGATTGATGATACACAAGGAGAACAGGTACAAGAGGAGAAGACGTTTACATTTCCCACCGCGGTATTTTCTTTTGAGTTGCCGGATGTTTAGATAACAACCACTTTCATGATCGATGCAAGTATATCCAAGTATAATAAGAGCGTTTATGTGTCAGACAGATATACGGATTGGACTCTCCGTCTCTTCCCCCCCTTTGTGAACCGGAATCGTGTTGTTTCTGGGCCTGAGCGCACGCCTGGTCAATGTTAATTGTTTCCTTCCTAAAAATGAAACATTGTGCGCTCACAGTTTGGGACGTCGTTGCCTCCAAGGTCTGTCCTGGCTCCAAGAGAAAGAAGCCCCGGGACAACGAGGCGTGTGTGTGTGTGTGTGAGCTCATGCTTAACTGCATTCAGAGAATGGGACAAGCAGTGTGGCCCGTTTCGTAATATCTTATTCCCTTCCAAACGTTAACCAAGTTCCTCCAGCGTAGCTGTTTCCTTCCCCAGTGATACAGTTGTTGGTGAAGAAGCTCCCCCGTTTCCTGCGTGGTTTTGGGAACTAGGACTGACAAGGCCTGTGGGGGCCTTGAGGTTGGAGTGCCATAAAGCCACCTGGGTGGGGGCTCCAGGCAGATGGCAGTACACAGGCTCCTTGTTGGGTTTGTTTTCCAATGAACGTCCAAACGCAGCCCCCCCCCCCCCAACGGTTGAAATTTGCTAGAGCAACTGCATTTGAAAGAGGCTTTGGGCTCCATTTTCCCCGGGGATGTTAGGAAATACACTGTCTCTGTTATTCAGTGAAAATCGGTCTTTTTTTTTTTTTTTTTTAATGATACTTGAAAAGTTAATCACTTATATCCTCCAGAATAATTTTTGTGTGTCTTTTTCCTTTAGAAATCCCCAGTTGGGCATCCAGAGCGCCTACCCTGTTCTTTCTGCATCTTGAATCGGGCGTTAACAGGACACTCTAAGGTCTGAAGGGGAAATAAAAGGTAATTAAAACTTTTCTTATTAAATTGATGTGTAACCCTGATGACCGTAAAGTAAATACAACCTTTTATCTGTTGAGCAGAGTTTAGGTGTTTTCTTCCACCACTTGCCCCCCCCCCCACCGCCCCCACCTTTCCATTCTGATTTACTTTCCCTTCCCCTCTTCTGTTCCCTCCTTTCTCTGTTCCTGTTTCTTTTCTCCCTTTCCCCTCCTTCCTCCTTCCCCCCTCCTCCTTCTCACCCCGCCCCCCCCCTTCTTTGCATGCATTCATCCAGCAGATGTTTGTGACATCTGTCCCGTGGTGCAGCTCACTGTCCTGAGCCCGCCCATGCCATCCTGTCTTTCTTGCCCTGGGGGAGTGGAGGGGTTGCCAGAAAGCCCCTCTTGGGATCTGCTGCCCACCTGAGCACCGTGTCTGCCGGTCTCTGCTCCTGCCCCTGGCTGTCACTGTCCTCACCGTCCCTGAAACCCATGGGCTCTCCCCGACCTTTTTGAAGCTGCCTGGGCGTTTACCTGCAGGGGCTTTTCCGTGAATTCTGTGGCTATTTTAACTCCCCAGTTCGGACTGTCAGGATCGCAGTCGCTCACGGGGTAAGTAGAGAAAGGTGCAGTGGTGTGCTGGCCCCTGACTGGTGAATTTGTAAGTGTTCTCGCTCGGTGTGAGATTTGGCATCTTTTTCCGAGCCACTAACATGATACAGAGATTGCACAAAAATGAAATGTTACAGGTCTGCAACACAGGATGTGACCGTCTGCACTCATGCCACTCCCTAGCAATAATACTGCCTAAATGGAGGTGCGAACATGTTAATTCCTTTCCTCTCCACTCATGGACTCGTGTGGCTAATAAAGACATCTAGTCAGTAATAAGTGCCCTGAACCAGTTGGCAAAAATATCAGGGGTAAAAGTGGTTTCATATTTTCTGTGGAATATCACACCTTTATTTATTTCGCGTTCCTGGTAACTGCCAAGTTGAACGGGCAATTTCTGGGGGGGGGGGGGGCCGGGGGTGGCCGCTGGGGCTCCCACGTGCCTGGTTCATGTTCATGTTTTGTAGTACACGGTAGTCAAGCTACTACTTAGGCCACAGGGTGTTAAGAATGCGTCAGTCACTGCAGTATTCCCTAGGGAACCTGGGCCTTGGACGCTCGGTGGGAATGGGGAGCTTCTCCCTGAACTGAAAACCTTTTCAGGCATGATTCTTGGGACGTGAGTCTCCTCTCTTCACAGTGCCTCTGTCTGTCCTCAGGTTGACGATTGTGATGTTAGTCAGTCCCCCCTGGAACCCCCTCCCCACCATATCCAAAAATAATTTGCCATGATTCCAAAAGCCCTTATTCCGTCACTTCCCCAGTTGTTGGTTTTCCTACACTGTTAGCTGGTGAGGCAGGTCCCTGACTTGTTAAGCTCAGTAACTGAGAGCCTAGTGTGGCTGGGCACATAGCCGTTGGTGACCATTGAAGGGACATAGGGCATCTGTGCAGGGCTCTTTATTCTGGGATGCCTTGTGCTCTGGGCAGTTAGAAGCCCTGGCCTTTGGGTCACATGTGCCAGCTATGAGGCCAGATTTCAGTTTCCTCCTTGTGAGTTTCTTCAGGGAAACTTGGGGGGTGGGCCCCAGCCAGATTTATGAGTTGGCTTGTGGATTAGGGTGTTCGGCTGTGGCCGCACCGACCCTGCCCTTTCCTGTCTGCTCTTATAGCCCTTATCATAGGTGGCATGGAGGGCAGGCATGGGAGAGCCAGATTCTTCGGGGTTGGTAAATAAGGTCGTGTGGCTTCGGCATTCAGCACATCTGGGTCAGCATCTGTGCTCTGCCACATGGTGGATGTGATGTTGGGCGAGCTCTTGGCTTGGTGCCCCAGTTTCTTCATCTGTCAAGTCAGGATGATAATAGTGCTGTATCATAGATTATCGTGAGCCTTCAGTGAGTTATTATTGAGTTGCAACGTAGACGGGCTCATGGGGAATGCTTAGTAGCTATTTGTTGCCGTCACCTTCTGCAGAGTGGAGATAGTAATGTTTCCCTCTCCTGGTTACTCTACCCATTAAATGAGGTGGTCATTTGAACAACACGGTTTGAACCATGTGGGTCCACCTCTATGCGGATTTTTTCAGTAGATCTACGTACCGTGTCGCAAATGTGTAATCTCTTCCGTATGCTTTTCTTAACATGTTCTTTCCTCTAGCTTCCTTTATTGTAAGAATACAGTCGATAATACATATAACATCCAAAATATAGTCGATCGATATTTTTATGTCACCGGTAAGGCCTCCAGTCTCCGGTGGGCCATCCGTAGGTAAGTTTGGGGGGAGACAGAAGCTATATGTGGATTTTTGACTGCTCAGAGATTGGTGCCCCAACCCCACGTTGTTCAAGCATCAGCGGTAAAATACATCGTGCCAGTCACATAAATGCACTCAACATCTGGTCGCCCTCTGTGGTGCTGGTCAAAATGACAATAGCATTGTCACAGCAAGTGTGTACAAAATGGGACAGAGATTGTGACTCTGAACGCTAGCTGATACGTAACAGTAGCAGGCGAGAACAGCTACAAGTTCAGTTTGGCAGCCACACGGTTTGTATGTATTGACCACTTGACATTGTTTAAAATGTCATCATTAGCTGGTTAAATCATTGTCTACACTTTGGACACAAAAGTTAACTCAAAAAGGCTTTGTGTACGGTTAACTATACACATCTTTTTATTCTTATTAGTGTCATCTTTTTATTCGTATTATCCCGCTCATCTTTTTATTCTTATTAGTGTCTAAGTTTTTAAATATGAAGGACAGCCTTTTCTTGAATTTTTACAGAATTTTTAAACTACCTTAAGAATAAATGATACTAGCTCTTGAACAATGTTAGAATCCATCAGCCTGTCCACACATGTCTTTGATCGTATTTATAGATGTGTCGATATTTTGGTCTTTCTCGTTAGACACGGCCTTTCCTTCGTCATTCTTAAGTATACTGAAATATTCCCACCCATGTTATGTGGTTGTTCCAAAACTTTATAAAAGGGGAAGCAAACTGAACTCTAATAGCATGTGGTTCTACTAGACCTAAATTAAATGGGGCGTAATTCTAGAAGAATCTTTGACATTCTTTTTCCTATACTTGGAACCAAAGCACATTGGAATCCTTGGTGTATTGGAGAATTTCTTACCACTTTTTTTATATGTTCGCTTTGGGTACACCTGAGACAGATGGCATTCCATGGCTTAAGAACATCAGTTAAAGGACAGAGTATATGATTCGAGTGCCCGTGAGTGACCTTAGGTTGTTGAGCTCTTCTGGTGATAGAGGCCTGTCGTGTTTTCTTCGCACCCGTGCTTGGCCGCGGACATCTCGGTGAAGCTGGGAACTGAATTAAAAGCACAGCAAAGGCAATTGGAGAACTGAAAATGCCTTTGTTAGGATACTGAGAATATGATGACTTTTCAGATTTGCCTCTCATCTTACGGTAATCGAGTTTAAAGTAGAAATCAAGACCCTGTAGCGGGGGTGATACTTTGGGTGTATTTGAAAGCAGCTTTGTGCTCTGTCCTAAGTTTAGGATGCTGATGGGCCCGGGGTCCACCTCCTCCTTCCTTCTGCCTCCCCTTCCTGCTGCCTGTGTCTCTCCCTGCCCCCGTCCTTCCCGATCTGCCCTCCTGCCCCTCCCCCCCCACCTCCTGCCCGTTTTTGAGATGGACCTTAAACAAGCCCCTGTCTGTCCCTGCTCTCGTGTTCCCTGTGCAGTGGCCTGGGTGTCATCTTCAGAGGTCCTGGTAAGAGTTCAAACCAACAGCAGCGAGCAGCCTCGAGCAGTAACGCCACCACCCCATTCTGCTGTGACTTGTATTCTGGTGGGCAGCCCTCCTTCATTGCTTAAACACCTGAGGGAGCCGTCCACCTCTCTGTTAGAATCCGTGGTGGTACGTCTGTGCTCTTGAGTTACATCCGCCCTTAAAGTGGTTTTGTCGGCGTCCTTTGCTACATCATTCCTCAGCTAATTTGGGAAGGAAGCATTCTGCTTCTATTAACATCACTGTTTTCTGGCAGAGAACAGTATTATGGTTGCGTTTCATAGGAAAGACCCAGGCTCAGCCAGAAGTGTTAAGTTCTGTTTGGAATCAGACTTATTCTCTTATCTGCCAGTGTGTGTTCTTCATGATAGAAATCTAGCACTGTGGGGGCGCCTGGGTGGCTCAGCCGGTTAAGTATCCAACTCTTGATTTTGGCTCAGGTCGTGATCTCACAGTTCACGAAACCAAGCTCTGCGTTGGGCTCTGGGTGTGACCGTGCGGAGCTTGCTTGGGGTTCTCTCTCTCTCCTTCTCTCTCAGCCCCTCCCCTGCATGCACTCTCTCTCTCTCTCTCTCTCTCTCTCTCTCTCTCTCTCAAAATAAATAAACGTTTACAAAAAAAGAAAGAAAGAAAGAGACCCGATACAGTGACTCCTGAGCTGGCTTAGTATTCCCAGCAATAGACATTAATCTCTTTTCATTTTGATTTTTAAAAGTTTTTGTATTTGACTATAAGTTGGCACGCAATGGTTATGATTTTTTTCCGTTAGAGATGTGCACAACTTAACAAATTCGACTTTGTTACGTGTTTGCACATAGGTTATGGTTTGCCCTGAGATTAAACAAGTAAAAAGAGTGCGGCTACTCCTCAAAATTTGTAGCAGTGACCAGTGAAAGTTTCTGGAAACCAGGGAATAGTTTAGTTGCTATTCTGAACGGGATGTTAGTGAGTCCCTCCTATCCATACCCCTGTCCCCTCTACCCTGGGGTCACCTGGGCTTTAAACTCTCACGGAGACTTGTTTGCTTTAGGTATAGATCTGACCTGAGTATCATCGAAGAGCAAACCATTTAAACAGGAGTGTATTTGAGTAGGTTAACTATACAGTTCTTCAAATCCTAGAAACATTTGAATTTCCCTTTTCCAAGTACTGAGTGTCCTGTTTTTTATTTTTTTATTGTATTTCTGTAATGTAAACTTAGATTTTCT